AGCCCCCCCTTCCTCAGCTCCAGCCCTGGCTGATGGGCCCCAACCCCTCTTCCCAGGTTCCAACTGTGGCTGATGAGCTCCAGCCCCCTTCTCCAGGCTCAAGCCCCACTTCCCAGTCTCCAGCCCCCACTGATATCTCTCCTGCTCCCATAGGTCCGATGGATGATGTACTGGATTGTCTTTGCACTCTTCATGGCCACAGAGACCTTCACTGACCTGCTCATCTCCTGGTGAGCTGGGAGGGGCTGTCAGGGTCCCTGTGCCCTGCGAGGGGAGGGAGAGGGGAGAGGCTACCAGCGCCTGGCACAGGATGGACCCAGCGTGGTCTCTCCAGGGCTGATGCTTGGAGGGAGCAGGGTGTGCCCTTGGACATCCCCTCATCTGTTTGCCCCCTGTCTCCACCAGGTTCCCCTTCTACTACGAGGTGAAGATGGCCTTTGTGATCTGGCTGCTGTCCCCCTACACACGTGGGGCCAGCCTGCTCTACCGCAAGTTCGTGCACCCCACGTTGTCCCGCAGGGAGAAGGTGAGGGGCTCTGGGGGTGTCTGTGTGCCTGGCTTGAGGGGTTCACCCTTCCCCAAGCTGTGCTGGCAATGCCCAAGGGAGGTGGCGATGCCCCAGGATGTGACAATGCCCTGAGAGGTGGCAATTCCCAGGGATATGGTGACAGTGCTCTGGGAGGTGGCAGTACTCATGGACAGGGCAATGCCTGGGGATGTGGCAATGCCCTGGGATGTGATGGTGACCTGGGATGTGGTGATGGCCTGGAAAGTGACTTTGTCCAGGGACATGGGATTGTCCAGGGGCATGAGGAGGCCCAGGGATGTGACATGCCATGCCCTGGGATATGGTGATACCCAGACACATAGTCATGCTCTGGAAGTTGGCAATGCCCCAGAATGTGATGCTGCCCTGGGACATGATAATGCCCAAGGACATGGTGATGTCCCAGGAGGTGACAATGCCCTGGGCCATGGCAATGCCCTGGGAGGTGATGATGCCCTGGGAGGTGACAATGCCCTGGGCCATGGCGATGCCCTGTGAGGTGACAATGCCCTGGGAGTTGATGATATCCAAGGCCATGGCAACACCCCAGGAAGTGATGATATCCAAGGCCATGGCAATGCCCTGAGAGGTGATGATATCCAAGGCCATGGCAACACCCCAGGAAGTGATAATGCCCCGGGCCATGGCAATGCCCCGGGCAGTGATGATGCCCTGGGAGGTGGCCATGTCCCAGGCCATGATGATGCCCCATGTCATGGTCCAGTTCACACCCAGCACCACCACGATTGTCCCGGCAGGACATCGACACGTTCCTGGTTCGCTCCCGTGAGCGTGGCTACGAGACAATGCTGCACTTTGGCAAGAGAGGCCTCACCATGGCGGCCACAGCTGCAGCCCAGGCAGCTGCCAAGGTACCACCACCGGGGCAGGATGCTCCGCTGACCCCAGGGGGAGGAACCCCCACCCCAGCATGGCTGGTCTGGGTGGTGTGCCAAGGGGGGGCTGGTGCAGAGACTGATTTGGGGCTCACCCCATGCCCTCTGTGCCCCCACCCCAGAGCCAGGGTGCGTTGGCCGGACGTCTCCGCAGCTTCAGCATGCAGGACCTGCGCTCCATCCGCAACGAGGCTCCCGTGCACTACCAGGACCCGCTGTACCTGGAGGAGCAGGAGAGTCGCCACCAGCTGATGGGTGAGCTGGGGGAGTCTCAGCAGTGGTGGGGCTCAAGCAAAGCCATGCTGGGAGCTGTCACATCCCTTCTGTCCCCAGCCTATGGCACGTCCTCGGCTGCTCGGCACTACGAGAGTGAGACAGATGATGAGGAGATGTGGTCAGACTCTCAGGTGTCTCCTCAGTCTTCCCCCCGCCGGGAGCACAAACCCCTGTCCCGCAGCCAGAGCCTGCACTCCCTGAGGAAGACTCCGAGAAAAGAGGTAGTGTGGGATGGGGTCACACACTGTGGTGGTGTGAGGGATGGGATGGGAGAGGCATGACCCATCCCTCCCCCTGCCCAGGGCTCTTCCCGGCTCCTGTGCAGTCACATCAGGAGGAAAATGGTTCCGTCGGAGCAGGACAGCTAATGATCCCAGGAAACCTCTGCCAGAAGTCTTAACAGGAGTTTGCTGCTGTGGTGTCAGGAGGGAGCTGGGAAGGGGTCCTCCCTCCCTGGGGTGGGTGTCCTCCTTCCCTGGGGAGGTGTCCTCCTTCCCTGGGGTGGGTGTCCTACTTCCCTGGGGGGGGTGTCCTGCCCCTCTGGAGGGGATGTCCTCCCTCCCTGGGGGGATCCTGCCTCCCTCGGGGGTCATTCTGCCTCCCTGGAGGGGGAGCTCCCCCTGCCTGACACTCAATACCTTCTCTGACCTCTGTGGTGCCTTGCAGAGGGGTGACCATCACCCCCACACTGTCCCCAGACCCTCCCAGCTCGGCGCTGGCGCCTCTCCCATGGGGTCTGGCCCTCGGTTTTTTTCTCCCATTCTATGGACACTACAACCTCTGGGGTTGTCCCCCAACTTCCTTTTGCTACTATGGTGCCTTATTCCTCACATTCCCTTTCCCCTGGGAGCCAGCAAGGAGATGTGCCTTGTCCCCTCTGTCTTCTGAAGCCAAAGACACAGCCCCTGGCTGGGGCCCCCCCAGATGTAGACTGACACCTCCATACCTGAACCCAGGGTGCCTCTCTGTGCCCTGCATGGCACTACATGGCTTTTAACACACCCCTCTCCCAAAAAAAGGGGATTTTGTACATGGAAAAATAAATGTTACTTCAGACTTTGGGAACCAGGAGTTGTCCCCTGTGCTGTTCCCTTCCCTGGGGGGTTGGGTGGGACCCTACAAGGGCTGTGGGGGGGTGCAGGATGGGAGGTACAGGGATGATTTTTCCTTTTTGGAGGAAACTGTATCCTCTGGGATCCATCTGAGGCTCTTCTCAGGCATCTCCCAGGCTCTTTTCAACCATGTTTCAAGTTCCAGGATCTCAGGTAGCAGCCCCAGATGCCTTCAATGAAGCTTCCCAAGGTTATTTTCTTTTGGAGGAAGCTGCGTCCTCCAGGATCCATCTGAGACTCCTTCCAGGCATCTCCCAGTCCCTTTCCCCATGTTTTAGATCCTAGGATCCTAAGGAGCATCCCCAGACTCCTCCAAAGAAGCTACCCAAGAGGATTTTCTATCTTTTGGAGGAGGCTGTATCCTTTGGGACCCACGGGATGCTCTTCACAGACATCTCCCAGAATCTTTTGACACCCATGTTCCAGGATCCTGGATAGCAACCCCAGACTCCTCCAGGGATGCTTCCCAAGCTGCTTTTCTCTTTCGGAGGAAGCTCTATCCTCTGGGATCCACCCGATGTTACTCACAGGCACCTCCCAGAGTTTTGCCACCCGCTGTAAGGGCTGTCAGATCGCAGGTCACAGCCTCAAATTTCCCGGGAAGAAGGTGCTGGAGCACCGGGATCCCTGCAGTAGCTGTGTCCCCCACGGCGTGGCAGCAGCAGCAACTGTGTCCCCACTGGGACAGCCGTGTCCCCAGCACCGACCAGCGCTGCAGACACACATCGCCAGCCGTGAGCACCGACCAGCGCTGCAGACACACATCCCTGCCTTGTCCCCACAGCCGTCTCCCTGCCGGGGCTCCCCCATCCCACCTCCTTCCCGAGGGGCTTCTCCCAGCCTGGGTGGGCGACCTGGGGCACACGTGGGCCAGGCAGGGTGGCACAGGGTGCCAGCAGCACTCCTGTCACCTCTCCTGCCCCCGGGAGCCCTCCTGTCCCCTCGTGCCCGCTGCAGACACACATCCCTGCCTTGTCCCCACAGCCGTCTCCCTGCCGGGGCTCCCCCATCCCACCTCCTTCCCGAGGGGCTTCTCCCAGCCTGGGTGGGCGACCTGGGGCACACGTGGGCCAGGCAGGGTGGCACAGGGTGCCAGCAGCACTCCTGTCACCTCTCCTGCCCCCGGGAGCCCTCCTGTCCCCTCGTGCCCTGCTCTCTGGCATCAATCCCCTCGCTCCCAATCCTCCCTGCCCTCTCCCCTCAGGCCAGCTTTATTTTTAGCCCTTGGCTGCTGCCTGCTTTGGAGGGTCTTCCCAGGGCAGGAAGAGCTTCTGGCTCAGCCTGGAGCCCCTCCAGGGCAGGCTCTGGGGGGCGTCCCGGGGCAGGCAGGGGATGTTGGAGCAGCTTAGGTGGAGGTGGCTGGATTAGCTCTGTAAAACTGCCTGGGAGACGATTACTTAAAGCAGCGGAGAAGGAAGGCTGGGTGGGGACAGCAAGGGCCAGGGAGCTGCCTGTAATCCCCCCAAAGCCGCTTAGGGAGCACAGTTCCTCCAAGGATACGGCCCGGGGAGGCTGCTGGGGTGACCTGCCTGCCCTGGGTGCTGGGGGTCAAAGGGGGGTTCTCCCAGCTTGGGGTACCCCAGGCTGTGCTCTAAGGGGGATAGCAGCAGCGTTGGAGCTGGAGTATTCCATCCCCAGGCTCGGTGGGGCATCAGCGATTCCCATCGTGGGGGAACTGAGACACACCACCAGTGACTTCCAAGACAGAGCTGGGAAGGGAAGCAGGAGTTTTAGCGTCCTGCTGCGGCAAGTCTGTGTATTCCCCGGGGCCTGAAACCCGAGGAGGGGACAGAGCCAGGCGGGGCGGCTCGTCCCCGCGGGTGCCAGCGCTGATCCCAGCTGTGTCAGCGCACGGGCCCGTGCCAGGCTGCAGTCAGCAAAGCCCTAATCCCCCCCGGCTCGCCTGGCACCGCCCCAGCACAGCAGTTTAAGCGCCTGACCTGAGCTTGCCTGCCTCCACGGTTCCCTCTGGGGAGAGGGTGCCAGGCTGGCACCACTGTGCGGACACCCTGTCCCACCCCAGGGCAGGGTTTGTCCCCATGGGAGTGGGGTGAAGTGGGGCTGGAGGTTGTGGGAGGTCATGTTATCCAGAGGGTTTGTGTCCTGGGATGTATCCCCAGCAGGTCTAGGGAGGGGATTCTTCCCCTCTGCTCCCACCTGCAGCTTGGGGGTCCACGAAATCAGAAGAATGTGGAGCTGCTGCAGTGATCCAGAGGAGACCATGGAGATGCTCCAAGGGCTGGAGCCACCCGTGCCATGGAGCCAGGCTGGGAGAAATGGGGGTGGAGAAGAGAAGGTTCTGGGGAGATCTTAGAGCCCCTTTCAGTGCCTAAAGGGGTTCAGAGACAGCTGGAGAGGGACTTTGAACAAGGGTTTGGAGTGCCAGGACACAGGGAATGGCTCCCTGCCTCCACTCCTGAGAGCTGGCAGGGGACTGGGTGACGCAGGGTGTTCCCTCTCCAGCATGACAGGGACACGGCTGGTGCTGCAGGGGAGTGTGGTGCCAGCCCCGGGCCGTTTGGTGCCCGCCCCGGGCCGTTCCTGGAGGGCAGTGGCCGCATGATCTGGTGCCTTGACTCCGCTGAAGGTCAGTGCCCGAGGGTACCATGGCCGGGCACTGCGGGGGTGTCACCTCTGTGCCCTCCCCGGGGAGTGCTGGGTCAGGGGAAGTGGATTTGTTACTCATTAACAGGATTTATCATCCAGACCTTCCAGTGGAGCTGCTGGGTGCCATCCCCAGAGCCCCCTGCACCCACTTCTCAGCATCCTCCTGCACCCACTTCTCAGCATCCCCTCCTCAGCATCCTCCTGCACCCCCCATGCTGCTGGGGTTCGACTGAGCCCCCCCAAACCCACTCTGGTGGCACTGGGTGACCCATCCACACTCCTGCAGCCCCCTCCCTCCCTCCCTCATTCCCAGCTCATTTTACTCCACCCTGGGAGGGCTGCTGCCCTTCTGGCAGTGCGTGTGGCATCTGGTGGCATCCTTGGGACAGCATCCTTGGGATGGCATCCTTCATCACCCTTAAACCAACTGGTTTGGGGGTCTTCAGCAGAGCAGCACCCTCACCCAGGCTGGTCATTCCACAGAGAGGGTCTGGACCCCCCAATCCTCTTGGGGTTCCCCCATCCCTGTGCCCTGTCCATCCCTGCTCGCCTGAGTCAGCTGTTCCAAGCAGGAGCCATGTGAGGCCGAGCACACATGGCTCCCGCGCGGCTCCACGCTGTATTTTTAGCAGACGGTATCAAAAGCATAATTATGTCTGTTGTTTAAACGCAGCCTCTTTTCTGGCAGCCCCGGGAGCTCTCAGCTGCCTCCCGCCG